AAGGACATAATAATACATCGTGTAGCATCTGTCTCTTATACACAGAAATCATGTGTATTTACGGGGACCCAGCATATCCTATAAGACCTCAACTTCAAGCACCATTTAAAGGCAACCTATCACCAATAGAACAGGACTACAATAAGGCAATGAGTGAAGTGCGTGTTTCTGTAGAATGGTTATTTGGGGACATATTAAATTACTTTAAATTCACTGATTTTAAAAAATCACAAAAAGTTGGAATGAGTGCTGTAGGGAAAATGTATCTTGTTTCTGCTTTACTGCAAAATGCACACACATGCCTATACAGAAACACAACATGTAATTACTTTGAACTCTGTCCTCCCAAGTTATATGATTATTTTCAGTAAATTTTGTTTGTTGGTGTGTTGACACAATAAAAGTGGATATCAGATATAAATACAAACCTCTTTTTATTCAATACTGTTCTTCCATACTATTCCAGGTTTGAATATCAAAACCAAAGTAAAATACGGTATAAAAACCAGCTGTGAAAAATTCACAACAGAATAGCCTACATTATTTACATTTTAAGTGAGGCCAAACAATAAAGGTTTGCATTAATGTTAACATGACTAAACATATACAACATCAAAGGTCAACATTTTTATTCATTTTTAAAAATCTTTTTAATTCTACTGTATTTTTTTTTTTTACGTATTTTTTTTAATGTAGACATGTCCAAGCAGTCGAAAACATAATACTGTACTGTACTCGCAAGACCAACAGCCTGTTCAACTCAAGAGCCAGATAAAAATTGAAAATACCTGTCCACTTATTTGATAGCTAGATATTACTTCTCCTTACTCAAAAACAACTGCATGAGCATGTTCATTTGGGTGCTCTGTAACTTTAACTGCTCCATTATTACATCTCTGTCTTTTTTTTTATCTTCTGCCTCTCTTTTCTCTTTTTCTGCATCCATTTTCCTTCTCTCTGCTCTCTCCTCCAACTCCTTTTTCTTCAGTTCCATCTCCTCGCGTTTTAATTCCAGCTCTGCTTTCATCCTTTGTTCAGACTCGTTTTGCTTCATTTCTAGCTCTTGTTTTCTATACTCTGCATCAATTACCATTTTCTCTTGGAGAAATTTCAATGTGTCAGTACCTGATCTTCTTTTCTTATCCTTTTCTTCTGAATCGGTACTTTCTTCTTTTTTTCTGGTAACATTCATTAACATTACACCATTTCAAGCCCCAGTTTTTTTGTTGTTTTTTTTAAAAAAAATATTAAAACATAAAGTAAGTAGTAGACTTGGTTACATCACATATGTAGTTACAATTATCTATGCACCAAATGGGCTTTCTTTTCATTCTGTAGTATGTTTTATTTTGAAATGTCCACGCATTTGTAGAGGTGTAGAATTTTCTTTTCTTCCTCCACATAGAGTAAAGTTGTAAAAACTTGTAAAAATTATGGAATTGAACAATCCCTCATTAAAAAGAAATATCTCACCTTTTTTTGGTCTCCGCAAAAGTCTCCATTGCCTGTTTTCGCATCGCTATTCCATCCTGCTTTTTCTTCTCTTCATCATTTTTCAACTCTATCTTTTCTGCATCATCTTCTTGGTTTATTAACTCTTCGACTAGTACATCGCTTTCTGACATTTCCGGGGATATCCCAGAGGCCTTTATTTCATTTGCATTTTTCTTCAATAAATTCTTCCGTAGTTTTGCCCACCTTTCTCTTACGCTACGCTGATCTACTTTGTAGCCATCTATTTTGTTCAGATTTTCTCCAACATTCTCCCATAAACGCCCTCGCTCTCTGGTTCCCTTTTTATGCATAAAAGGATTTGTCACAGCCATTTCGCGTAATAGTTCAACATCCTTTTCACCATTCCAGTTCATGAAGTTGGCTCTACAAAAAACAACATGCGGAATACAATTAATATGTGCCTAATTAAGCCATGACTTGGGTTTTTTGTGACATTCTTTTATAGTGTCTTTAATAAAAATGATTTTTAAATATATATATATTTAATATATATATATATAAAATATCATTAACAACTAGACATCTCTTCATTCACATTCCAGCATACATAGCAATCTTTAAACACTT